TGCTCTCTCTCTCTCTCTCTCTCTCTCTCTCTCTCTCTTTCCCCCTCCCTCCTCTCTCCACGAAGAATCGGTGCAAAAAACAGGATCTAACGGCGTGCATTTTGCCGCACAACAAAACCTCATCCTTGCTTAACGTCACGGCACACCAGCCTGATGAATGTTTTATGATTTACACGCTTGGCAAAATCCCGAACTTCTCGAGAAGGAGAATTGATAGCGCTAAGGATTAAAACGTAAAGGCAGAGAAGACATCTTCTCGGTTCCACACCGGAACACGGCGCGCATTGTCGTGCGACGAGACTCTTGCCTGTGTCGAGCTCTAAGCAGCGAGAAAAGGTACACAATAACGTATTTCCGTTTCGCTTCGTGATCGAGGAACATTGGCAGAGACGAAAGAGAGACAAGTTCCCTGCAACTAGCTTTTCCGCTCCTATAATCACGAAAGATTTTTAACGGAAATCCGCTAATTAAATGGAATACCGCTCGGCGAAGTTTACCTTTTCTAAATCTTGTTACGGTGCTTTCCGATTCAAAAAAATAATGATTGAAAGAAACATTAAAATATGCTCATCTTTATCTTATAAAGATAATTTATCTTATAATTGTTTTTCAATGACATAATAATAATAATATTAAATCATTGAATGCGGGGTTTAATTTACTTGTTTCTCTATTTCTATATACGTATAAAAAAATTAATGAAACTCATGTTTCATCCATTTTTACATTACATTGAAAACGTGATTGCAGAAACGTGATTGGCGCGGCACTTAACGTATTAAGCGCCATGTATATAAATATATTTATATTACGAGTCAATAGAAATGTAATTATAGATTTTAAGCGTAAAATAAAATGTATGCTTCTCCAAAGAACAAAAATATTTCATAAAAAGATTATTACATTTTTCTTCTTAATGTGAATTATCCGATACGATTTTGAGATTAAATCTTCAACTTTAAATCAAACGATGTATTACAAACACTGACTGGAATCGGAAATCGAGTTGCAAGATTCGCATTTTTCGTAAGATTTGTATTGTAGCGAATTGTGATTCCTGTCACGTCAGCGAAAGTTGTTTTCAATGCCGTAATCTATTTTATTTCTGAATTCCAATACGAATCTCTTGTCAGATTCCAGCTTTATTTATGCGATGATCTCTTTGTCAACAAGAAGAAATTTCTAATACATCTTTATACACGATAATTTCTGTAATATAAAATAACTTGTATGAAGAGAAGTTAATGAGAATTATTAGCGGCTGAAGTATCTTCAACTTCACGAATGAAGGCGCAGCTTCTTCAATTAAGTGTCTCTTCCATAATATTGGTTGATGAACTTAGTCAGTGCTCCAAGAGATGACGCATTTATGTTTCCACAATTAACAAGATAACTCCGGGATTCGTGTCGTCACTTTTATCTTTAATTTCAACGCGCGCACAATAATCTATCTTGAACCTCGCGATCCTCATGGTTGCTCCTTTGTCTACCTCGGACGCGTAAACGGTTATCGATTAGTACGAAAATAAAATTAGCAACAGGGGAGCGTACACGCATTTTTTTTACTTTGATAGCTGAAAGGCAAAAGTATTCTCCGAACGGCTCCGGTTATCGTTATAAAAATTATGAAAATCAGAATTATAGAATTATAGTAATTGAATGTATTATTATATATGAATTGTTAAACGATAACAACAAATTCTATAATTTGAGTGCGCATAATTATTTTTTCCAGTCAAGTTTTAATTGTTTTTTGTTTTGCGATAAAGAGATATTATCTTTTGTGAATTTGATTTGTTTAAATTATTTGCAATTTATCATATTTATTAAAAAAAAATTCGATTTATCTTCGATTCGTTTGTGATATTTTATGGAAATCAGCGTTGAACCGGTATATGGTATATAATAATTTTAAGATACTTTATAATGTATACATAACGCTTCGACAAACAACTTACGCTGCTCCGCTGTCGGCTTTAAATATTATTAAGATGTTCGATTATGCCTTATGGCTTATATCGGCAACGTGGGAAGTTGTCGGCGTGCGATCTATAGGAAAACAAAGTTGTTACCTCAACAGAAAGAGGGGGAGAGAAAGAGAAAGAAACTTTGTATCGGGCAACAATAACTAGCTCTCTCTCATTTTTACGATCCTCACGGCTAGTATCTGCACATGGCGTCGATGTTAAATTTTCACGTCACGCTGCTTCTAAAGTGTTTATCGTTTATATTTTATCACACGGATGAGAAGTCATTTTGTTGTGAAATAATCGTAACAGGAAATAAAACTGATAACAATAGACAACGATTGAGATTTCCATCAAGGGAAGTTATTCATGGGAAGTAATGCAAGTCTAATCTACAGTATTTTATGCAAAGAATTGATAAGAACGTAATTATGAATTAGATCTTAATACAAAAATTTGTCTTTTACATTCAAAATAAATTACCGAATAAATTTGTTGAGGATATTTATAACATATTTTTCCGTCCTTTTAGTTTCTTAATTAAAGATAATTTTTAAAAGATAATTTTTATCTAAAAATAATGTAGAATAATATATTTTAAATTATGAGCTCACGGTCTTTCATTTTAGTTAGTAAAATTCTCCATTTAATCTTTTTAATTTATTATGAGAACAAAAATTAAAAATATCGATAAGTGAGAGAGATGTATTAATTTCACAAAAAATATTACATTGCACATTGTTAAATCTTATTAAATTATTTCTTTATTTCTTATGTATCAGTTTATATCTCAAGAGCCTTTACCTGTAAAGGTTGCCTTATTTACAAATTAAAAACTCTTGAATAAAAACGGCTCTTAAATTTTAGCTATATCACGATAAATCTTAAATTAAATCTCTCTCAGATTTGATATCAGATAATTTATATTAAACGAGCTGATTTTAGAATATGTTGCCTCTCCTTGAATTACAGGCGGAAAATTCCGCCTTAAACTTGACTTTAAAGATGGAATAAGCTGGCAGATCCGAGTCGAGTTTTTGCCGCTGCTCGAATTGAGCTGCTTTTATTTTCTGATTTATCGCGAGATCCAGCGGTCCTTCTTGGTGAACGGAGCCAACGACGGCACGATCAGGACGTTTCGTCCTGATGCTAGCGTTAATACGTCTTTGTCCACGGTAGCGCATTGTTCGCCACGTAAAAGCTCTACCGGATGGCGAGTGTAACGTCGTGGTATATATGAATACATGCCGTGGGATATCGACCGTTTCGCTACCCATGTATTACCCCATTGCATAGGCGCATACACGTAACCACGGACAGGGATCAGGGATGGTGTGTTCGAGTTGTCCTATAGCCGTAGTCGGGCTCTGCCGATCGAACGAGAGCTCGCCGTGTCGTATGCCATGCTTTCGCGGTGTTCGGCACTGGGGTTGATCCGACCCACATCCAAATCGATTCCGGATGATTCGGACGATTGTTTCGCAAACACGGGTGCACGGGGAATGGTTCGGTAAGAGGCGCGTTCGTTAAAATCGAGGCGACTATGTTGCCTGTCGAACTGTTAACCGAAATGATTTCTTCCCCGCACTAAAATTTCGTCGCATCCCATATCTTTTTTGCGGCTCTTTAAATCTCAATTCAAAATGTCGCTCAACGTGATTTTGAAGATATTGTTATAATAAATTTTATGGAACATTTAAAAAGGTGAATTAACATAGTCCAAATCTTGAAGCACAGTCTAAATTATACATTATTTTTTTTTAATCTTAAAAAATAGATTTATAATCAAATGTTGACACGCCTAAATATCTGTCCTTTTAAACAAAAATTACATACGTATTTATGGTTAATAATTATATCTTTAAATTTGGTTTGAAAATTTAAGAATGATTTACATTTCGAATTTTTGACACAGTTTTTCAAAAATTTTTATTGTCAATTTTAAATTGTCAAATGCAATATTCATACGTCCATCCGAATACTCGCTGCTCGAAAATTCTACAGCCGATTTTCCCTTTGGTCCAGCTGTTTAATTAAAAACTTCAGATATCCCCAGACTCCAGGGCGAGGCCGTTCGTTCTATTTAATGATACGGAGATGATCGGAAGGGCGCTTCGGCTATGCTGGTAGTCGGCTTGGCACCGGCGGTAGTTATTGGTTTCTCCTTTTTGCGCGGATATTTTCCCTCGGTCGAGCAGTGGTAGGTATTCCGTTAAGTAAAATCAGCCACGAGTTTCCGGACCTCGCTCGTCGCTTTTGTGTTGCCTCGTCTCTCCGCAATTTCAGTAGATGCTACTTCCTCTCTCGAGATAATAATATAATTGTACATTGTCAACGCGTTAAATTTATTAATTCTATCTCATATAAATTTTAAAATCTTTACGAATAACGAAAGAAGATATTGCTCGAGCGTCCTAATATTCCCTTTAAATATTTCTTGATTGCTTTTCGGATTTCTATTTTATTTAGAAGTGATCAACTTCGGCCATCGGTCCGAAGCGAGTAGCGATAGTCGGAGAACAATAACGATAAAGAGCGATGAAAATAATAATAATGTAATGTAACGACGGTGGTGCAATCGTTGACATTGTACTTAATCATTGTTCTCGCAATGACTTCGCAATCGCGTCGTCGACTTCATCGGAGCATGGCAACTTCCCGTTGTCAAATGACTGCAATTCGTTAGCCTCCATCGTGACGCTGCATCCTGCGGCTATTGTCGCGATAATAATCCTCGGTCGGAATCACGACAGATCTCGTCTGCCTTATGTTGCAGGAGCGGCGAGTCCGATAATCCGACGATGGGCGGACGGACGAGAGGACTCTGAGAATTGGTAGCGATATACACCTCGTCGCCGGCTCGATCGCCGGCTATCCGGGCCCGAGTTTCACGAGAGGATGGAGACCTGCCCCGCGAATGTATTCGATGTATCCGGAATAGAGGGTGCGTAGGACTCGCGCAGAGAGTAGACCAGAGGAATCAGAGATCCAGCATGGGGAAGTGTTGCAGCAAACGGCAAGAGTCTCAACCGATCGGTGAGTTCAGTTGTTGATTGATAACGAGCACTGTATGTAGAAATAATTATCGCTTTGTCACCGTAATAATTAATACCGATGGCGATGGTTGTGTCAAAGTCATCATTATTAGAAAAACAATATTGAAATTTCCCCTTTTATTTCGTAACGGTCGGATCGGATAGATCAGGGTCTCTCGTTCTTCGAGGAACTAAAAAAAAAATCCGTCTCGCTTTCGATAAAGGTTTAATAAACGCGCGAGCTGAGTGTACAAGTAATTGCATTTGTACGATCGAAGCTGCTAATCCAATTTAATTACGATGTCTTTTTCGTCGATGTCTTTTTGATCTTATTCTAAAAGAAAAAAAATCTCAAAGATATCAATATGCTGGGTTTTCAAAGGAAAATGATCTTGGATTAAGTGGGGCGTGAATGGTTTATTACTTAAAGTTCGTATAATATTTAGGGCCACAGATAAGAGATACGTTTCTCATCGGATTGGCTCTTCTTTGACGAGAGACGGATTTTTCTCTCTGTTCAGGCTATAAGAAAGCAGACACGGGACTCAGCTCAAAGCACAGCAATGGAGGTTCCTTGGACCGATACACCGCCGACCCAAATCAGAGAGGCGTGCAAGCTCGAGCGGATATTATCCGACCGAGACCGACACCCTGTAAGCTACAGATACCGCATCAGCAACCCCGTAAAACGAATCCGCCTGTTAAGTCTGCATGTGTGTATTTTATTTTATTCTTATTTCGCTTCCGTAGCCGTACGGCCATCTGGACGAAGATAGAATTTCATTTCGCAAGTAGCTCCATTTACGTTTTATTATGAAACCGCTTAGCGTTTAGTAGAATCGTTGTCTTGGTCTGTTTTAAATGTTTCTCATCCGCCCATCCGAACCGGTTTAACTATTTTCGATAGAATAGAATTCTCATTCCTCGATCTCTGCGCATATTTATGATAATGAAAAAGAAAAAAATAATTTGAAATTTGAAATTTTTCAAAATTATATATACTTTTGACTTTTTATATAAAATATGAAATATAAAGTCAGTTCGGAGATGCGAGTCGGGATATTGTATTTTACTTCGGTTATCATCACTCTTTGCATAAAATAGTTAACGGGTCCTTTATTCAATTTAATTTGTCTTTTAAAGTTAAATCGTTTTCCTAACCGGTTCGGGTGCCTGAATTTCTCTCGCTCGGAGAACAATTTGATGAGACGCGTTCTATTTCTCTTCCGATACAGCGCACTCACAAAGATCCAACAAGATTGTGGTGGCACTGTACAATTACACGGCGCGAGAAAGCACCGACGTTAGTTTTATGAAAGGCGACCGAATGGAGGTCCTCGACGATTCCGAGCCGGACTGGTGGAAAGTGCTGCACTTAACGACTCTGCAGGAAGGCCTGATCCCTTGGAACTTCGTGGCTGTCGAGCGGTCGGTCGAGAGCGAAGAGTGAGCATTTATCTTCTATTCTTCCTTGACCTTTTTGCACCTCTCAATGAGATATTGTGTACCTAATACTGTACTGTATCCTTCGTTGTAGTTGGTTCTTCGAAAATGTGTCACGCAAAGAGGCGGGTAAGCTGTTGTTGGTTGACGAAAATCCTCGCGGCACGTTCTTGGTGAGGCCGAGCGAGCACAATCCCCGAGGTTACAGCTTGTCGGTCAAGGATTGGGAGGAAGGAAGGGGCCATCACGTGAAACACTATAAGATTAAACCGCTCGATAATGGCGGCTTCTTCATCGCCACCAATCAAACGTTCTCCAGCCTACCGGCTCTGGTTATGGCATACAGCAGTAAGCATTTATTTGTAATAATATATGAAAAATATACGTAATTTTTTTTAGCATTTGCGTTAATAGCTTTAGAGATATACTACTTTTTTTTATTTATTTTTTTTTTTATTTAATTCTTTATCTTTTGAAAGTAAAATCCAAATCGATATGATATCCATGATATTTATTTTTGATATTTCTGTTATCCAGAAAATGCACTGGGTCTCTGTCATGTGCTTTCGAAGCCTTGTCCTAAACCACAACCGGATATGTGGGATCTCGGACCTGAGTTACGTGATAAGTGGGAGATCAACAGGAACGAGATACAACTGATCTCGGAACTGGGCAACGGCAATTTTGGCAAAGTTTATTACGGCAAGTGGCGGAACAAATCGAGGTGGCGAT